GCTGAAGAAGATAAATAACTGTGAAGATGAATATATGTATTTCACTTAGATAATTGTAAATTACAACATGACAAGAGTGTGATTAAATGGCCTTATTTGTTGTTGTCAATTCCATAGAGGAAGCATAAACATCTAAAATGTATATACATTGAGGGTACTCAACTCACTACTCTTAACTTTCGTGTCCATGATCATCTTAAAGAAAGCATGCTCTAAAGACCGCGATGAAGTGTTGTCTGTGTCATGTGTTTTACTCTCAACAGCTAAGCCAGTGGGGCTTGGTGGAGTTCCAGGAGCCAGGGCTACACATGGCATAGGGCTGGGGCAGTCTGTACACTCAGCAGATGGGGTTTGGGGCTCTTCTCCTTGTACCATTCTACCTCCCTCTGAAGTGAACTGAACTACAGAAATTGTATCCTTGCACACGTCTTGCTTTAAAAACACAAAACTACCCAAGGAAGCTTGAACTTAGACATTTTGTTTCTGCCACAAAACACACCCAATTATATTATGTCAATCTGGCTTTTCACAACTCAAATTGGTTTTCAGGGTGGTAATGACCATGCAAAAGAGTCTGTCTTTGGTGCACATGTGCAAGACCTGCCCCAACGGAAGTTCCAGTCTTAGACTGTGTGGGATTCGTTCTACAGGCACTGAAAACCCTTCCTTTTCTATCTTCACGTACTTAAAAAAACTTAGATGCCACTGTTTGTCAGCAAACAAAATTCTGTTTTCAGCCTCTCCTCTCAGTAGGCATTTGGCTCTTCTCAATGCTGCCTGGGTGCGTTTGATGGCCTTGCCCACGCTGTCATTCTCAGCTGGTCCTTCTCATGCTTGGGGACATAAATCCCTCTTACTCCAAGAATTTTTTCCTGATGATTGCTACCCACACTGCCATGTCACTTTTTTAGTACCTAAGGTCTACCTTGGACATTTTAACATTTGATGTTGCTCTGTTTTATTTTTCCTTAATTGCTTTGTATCTTGAGCTTTAAACTTCCCTTTAAAATTTAAATCTTCCCTTTAAAATGTAAACTTTGTCAAGGATACTAATTGTAATCTGTACTAGTTGGCAACCAGCATAATACGGACCACAGTGTCTTGCAGGTAGAAGATCCTCGATAATTTGCTTTTGAATAATGCAGGGAATGAAGTAACTGGTGACTCTTTTGTCCCTTCCACAGTACCTAGAATAACCTTCAGTACAGTTTTAAACCCAGCTGCAGGCTCAAATCTATTTTTATGGATTGGGGCCCTTGCTGATGTATTTTTGGCTGTGATTTTAAAACACGGGACAAAATGCTCTACAGTGACCTCCAAGGCTCTGCAACAGTGGTTCTCAGGCTAGGGCATGCTAGGTGCCACCCCTGGAGTTTCTGGGTCAGTAGGTCCAGGTAGGCCCCAGAATTTACATTTCTAACAGGTAAAGCTGATGCTGCTGGTCTACTCATTATACCTTGGGAGCCACTGTCCCACTCCTATGACACTGATACTGTCTGCTGCTGCTGTCTTACTCTGTTTTAGTGACACCGACCTCCTTGTGGTTCCTTAAATGTACCCTGGCTCCACCCAGGGCTTTCGCATTGCTGCTCCCCTAGATTCTCACACACCTGCTCCCTCATCTCCCTCAGGTGGTTCCTCATACGCCACCTTCTCACTGAATTCTTCTCTCATCACCTGATCTAAAATAGCAACTCGCACTCTCACACATCCCCACAGACGCAGACTATCATACCCCTTCCCTGCAGCGTCTTTCTCCCTAGCATTTACCACAGTTTGACCTATGCCGTGTTTTACTTATCTGCTTATTTTGTCTGCCTCTTGCCCCACTAGACTGCAAATTCCTGAGGGCAGGAATTCTCACCTGGTTTGCTCTTTCTTGCATCCCAGAGGTTAGAGTGGTTTGGGCACAGAGTAAGCATTCTAAAAGTAGTTGTTTCAACTGGAGGACAGCCACAGACCACAAACCATAAAGAAAACTTGCCCACTGCTGAAACAAATTAGACGTGATTGACTCAATTCTCCCTTTGCCCAGGCCTGTCATGGGGCAGACTGAAGAAGAAAAGGAAGGCACCATTAACCCCCAGAGTGGCTCAGGGCAGGTTGCTGCTTTGTCCTCTCATCTCTCATGTACAAAGTGAGGTGTTGTGAACTGCTCTGCCTGGTTCTAGGACTTGTAACTCTACCCCCTGTGGCTAAGGAGGAGTCAGTGACCTTTGAAATGTGAGCCGCAGGAGACAAAGCTTGTCTCCGGTAGCAAATGTTGCCTCAGTTTCCTCCCTGCCCTTGAAGCATGGTCAGAAGTCCTTGATGGGTAAGACCCCTCACAGCAGGGGGCAACCTAGGCCAGACACGACCACTTGGGAGGCCATCATTAGAGGACTGGGGGGCGGTGCTGCAACAAAGAGCAAAGAACTCCACCCCCCCCCCTTTGACATAGCCCCAGGCCCCATGTTTTCTGGGAGAAGTGCTCCTGGCTCTAATCCCCTTAAGCCTGAATACCTGTTCGGAGACTTGCTGCTCCTTGCCTTGCTAGAGCTTATCCTGGGGGAAAATCTGGCATTGCAAAGACTTGCTGATAAACCTGTGAAATCTGCTCTGCTAAGAGTGCTTTCATTCATATGATAAGGGTCCGAGAGGAAATAAGTATGTCTCCCAAAGTTTCTGCAACTCTCTTCCTGATAGACACTGACTCATAGTAAGCCCTCAGATTTCTTTGAAATGTTATCTACTATTTGATCCTTGTTGCCCTGTATTCCTGTGTTGCCCTGTATTACAACCCTATAAAAGCACCTGGAGGAAGAGGCTCAACGCCTTTTCCCTGGAGAAACTGGCCACTGCTCAAGGCATTTTTCCTCTGGAAAACTGGCCACCTCTCCTCCCCAAACAGATCACATCATGTCTCAGTCAGGTTTATTTTCATCTGTGGCACACGGGGGGACTTGCGAGGAAAGTCGCCCCCACAATGAGGTGTTTGGAGATGAAATACAGCAGGTCCTTGAATAACGTCATTTCATTACAAAAGTTGATGAGAAAAAATATAAATATTCCCAGCCAGGGCCACTGTCTATGAGGGGTTTGCATGTTCTTCCAGGTCTGCATTCTCTCTGGGGACTCCGGTTTCCTCCCACATCCCAAAGATGTGGCTATGAGGTGCATGCGTGTGTCCACATTGTCCCATCTGAGTGAGTGTGTGCGTGAGTGCGCCTGTGAGGGAAAGGCGTCCTGTCCAAGGGAGTCCCTTCCCAGTGCCCTGAGCTGTAGGAACAGACGCCAGCCCCCTGCAACACTGAACTGGGGACGTGTGGGCTGGAAACTAGCAGTCTTACCTGTTTTTATGAATTGTTCTTAAATATGTGTGGAGCTCGCATTCATTTCAATGCTTGATATTAGAAGTATTTTGGGTCTTTATTTAGAAGTTTGGTGATGTCTTTTGTGACCAGAAATATGCCTAGGAACTTAATTCTGGTTTGTATCAACTAGTCTAGGAAAGATTGGTTTCGTTCTACATTGGTTCACTTTAAGTTGTAGTTTTCAAGAATTACAGTGGTAAGTGAGGACCTACTGTATCTGCAATGTTTGCAGCTCTGAAACTCTATGCGTTTTTGCTCCCCCAGGTCTACACGACACACAAAGGGAAGTCTCAGGACATGGGGGCCAGTGAGCAACTCTGCTCTGGTCAAAAGGTGACAGTTTTCTCCTTGGCATTTTTGCCCTTCAGGTGTTGTCAATAATTTTGCGGCAACGAAGGTAGCAAAATTCTATAGAGAATTTTCTCCCAACCAAAGCTGCAACCCTATAGGTGTGCTGCCTTTGTGGTTTTGTGTAAAACAAAGTTCTTGCTTCTGGGTTCTAATTGGTGTCAAACAGAGTATTATTATTACATTTGTGTCACGTCACAAGTCATCCTGTTCTGGGACTTCTTGAATCAGGTCAGGTAGGGGAACGTCTAGACATGTTTCTTTTCTTTGCTGACCTTGATGTTTTGAGATTTTAAAATATAAATATAATAATAATAATATGAAGAATTTGAGGCTAAATCATAAACTACTGTATATCTAGCTTCCAGTAGAGACAAACAGCAGTGGATGCTGGATTAAGAAAAAAAGTTTCCTAATTGAGAACCTGCATCCTTCCTTTATTCTGCAAACTGAGAAACACTTGGCTCCCTGCCTGCATTTCAGAGCATGAGTGGGAGAGGGTCGGCATGGAGCAGTCATTCGGTCTCCTCAGTAAAGGTGATAGCGCCTACCTTCTAGGGTTATCGAGAAGCCAAATAAGGTAGTACAGACAAAACTCTTCAGCTGAGCCAGGCCCCCAACAAGGGCTCGACCAGCGTTGGCTGTTACTCTGCACAAGGCCATAGTAAGGCATGCTTAGGCAAGGGTTAGCCCAGACAGGGAGAGAAACAAACAAACAAAAAGAACATTTTGAGAAAGTGAAAGGATTAACAAAAAGGAAGAGGAATAGATATGAATAACGCAAAAACCACTGGAGAAGCTATATGGGTTTGGCTAAGATTTCTGTTAATTTGAACCTTTAAAAAAATCATTACTCTGCCCATACACAGGGCTGCATCTGGTAAGTAAAGCTTGAGGTCGTTAACTGTTCAGGCCAGGGTGCAAGGGCCTTCGGAGCACAAGGCCGTTTCAGGTGTTCTTTCAGGTTATCTGTCTCCAGGGAACTCTGGGGACCTGTGACCTAAGGATTTTCCAAGACTTATCTTCCAAACTGAGGGGGTGGTATTTAAAGGGTTTTTGTTTGCTTTGCTTTGCTCTGCTTTGTTATGTTTTTAAGTAACTTTTCAAAAATAAGGGCCTGTAAAAAGAAGAGGTGGACTGCCAGGATCACAGTACTCTTGTCCCGGTCCCTCTTGCCTGTGACTCACCCCCCTTTCCACGACAAATCAGCACTTTCCACAGCCTGGTGACCCCTCAGAGGGTTTCTGTAGCACACTGTGTTTGGGGTCATTACTTTGAGCATGTTCAGTCTTTTCTCAGATGTCACTGAACTGTGCTTGGGCTGGCCTTCAGGACATTGACCCTTAAACAAATAGAGAATGTTCTCAGAAAAGCTTGAATTCCGTTCAGTGCTTTATAATGGTGGACACAAGTCAGAAAAGGCAGTGGAGTTCGTTTTTTCTTCTGGCTTCCTCAAGTTCACTGTCACAGGTAAGTGAGTTATACTGTCTACAGCATTTGAGGGCTATATTCTGCCACTCCGTTTCCTCTAAAGGTCACATTGTGGGCCACTGTGCTTCTGATTTACCCGGGTGGCCTCTTGTCATGTGATAAGTAATACAACAATGCTTGGATAGGAACTTGAAGAACACATGAATGATTTCATAATATTATATACAATGCAGATCCTCTCAGGTGCTGTCTTACTCACAGCGGTGCTATTTTCTGCATCGGTGCCTCTGAGAGTCTGTGGTACTCGGGAATGTGTTGTACAAATGTGTGAACAGATTGAATAACCTGCCAAAAGTAAAAATGCCAGTGTAGTTCTTAACTTGGCTTTATGAAAGCATAATTCTGTTTGTACTGATAACCGCAAATCCTACCCTGGAAAGCCACTGCTGCTTTCATAAACTATACCGATTTCCTTTTCTTCAGACTCATGCTCATTTCCTCATTCCCCCAGTTTCTAAAAATCTGGACACTAAGAAATATGAGCTCTGGATGCCTGGCTAGAGGGGAGAAAGTTGGCTTCCGGAATCCAGTTTCAGTTTTCAGGTTTTCCTAGCTGGCAGAAATCACATGTTGCTGATGAGTCGAACGCACAGATCAGATATCATCACACACATTCAAGACTGGGAATGCAGTGTGGTATTTCTAAATGTTCCGAGGGGGAACAACTTTCTAGGCATTTTAGAAACACGGTGTAATGATTGTACCTACTACTCTTAATACTGGGATCTAATAGTGGTTCTTATTAAGCTTTTAAAGTATTGACTTATTTTTAGGCTCTTGTTTAATAGAGGTTCTTTCTGTGCGCTGCTACCTGTGCCCGCCCAGCTACTCCCCACCACTCCGGACTTAGTTAACCTCGTGCTCTGCTCTGAGGCCCCCATTTCCCTGCTGAGAGAAACTGTTCACACGCCCCTCCCCACGCTTGACTGTAAGCCCCTTGAGTCATTTGTGTGTCCTACTACTATGAGTAATGGTGACAAATATTTGCTGATGACTGCTGGAAGTGAATTAGAAGTAATTTAGGGGGAAAAATTTGCCCACTCCGGTTTTAAAAAACACTGAAATTGCTTTAAAAAAAAAGCCTGAGTTCCATCTCAGGAATCAAGTGTTAAAATTATGTGTAGCCTTGTGAAGATGAAAGAGCTAATGCATGGAGAGAGAAAGGAGGGCTGGGGGTAACTTTAGTTTAAATTCTACTTTCTTCAGGAAGCTGTTTTTTAGTCCTCCGTATCTCAACTGTGACTCTGTGAAGAAAATAATTGTTACGTTCCAATGAGGATCCCTGTGTATTTCTTTCCTTTTGGTGCTAAAAGGGGCCCATTTTCAATCCTTTCCCAGGACAATCAAGTTCATATTTCTTCTTTTCTTTAATGATCCTTGGGAGAAAGAAATCACTTGCTAGCTTTGATGATAACAGAGGGGCCTTACCATCATTCCAACATGTCAGCAGTGTAGACATTTTAGAAGTTTTTAGAAAAATTGGTGGCTTGGAAAATGACTTCCAAATTCAAGAGGAGCAAGAGCGGTTCTGCTTTTTTCTGTCAGCAGCTCAGGGAAGGGGAGTGGGTGGAGCTGGCGGCCTCAGAAGGTTTTACAGAGGAGAGGACTATGTCAGACAGAGTGAAGTGAAGGAGAGGTTCGCAGTGTGAGGTGGGGTGTGGGTAAGGGCCCCTCCACTCGTGAGCCTGGCTCCTCGGTGGCTGCAAGGGGCTCCTCCTGACCATTTTGGTCTGAATGTGGAGAAACCTCAGCCTCTTCCTCCTGAATTCAGTCTAGGCAAGACCACCATGTTTAAAAATAGTATTTGGGAGAAAATAAAATGGGAAGCGGAATAAATCTCTCCCTGCCCACAAAATTCCCAACTGTGAATAGTCAAGGAGCCAACTTCTAAAGTAACAAGAGCCAGGTTGCCGCTGGCTTGGCTGTGTCACGTCGCACAGTCTGTTTCCCTTGGCCACCTCAGGTGTATCTGCCTGGAGGGATTTGAACTACATATGCTCCTGAACTTGCTAAAGAAGGGTGAGCTGCTGCTTGATCTGGGAGGATTTCTGACTTTCCCAACATGATTTCCTAGTCTCTTTCTCTCTAGGTGTGGGCTCCCAAGTCTTAAGCCTTATCAGAGTATTGTTTTTTTTAGAAAATATATGAATGTGATCACATCCTTCTTTTGCCTGAAAACCTTTATTAGTTCCCATTGCCTTTGGAATAAGGGCCCAAGTCCTCAACATTAAGGATTACCTCATCTCAAGGAATAAACCAGCCTCAACCTCCAAGGTGGCCTCATCCATGCCCCCAGACTCACTGGATCTTTTTTGGTCCTTAAACCAACTGTCTCTTGGGTCTGGGCCTTTGCATGTGCTCTCCCCTGCCTGGAACTCTTTCTTCTCCTCTTCTCTTGGCTAACTTCCTTCCCTCTTCAAGGTCTCACCTAGAAGCACTGGTTCCAGAGCCTCCCTTAACTCCCTAGACAAAGGCAGGGCTTCTGCTTGGGGGTCTAGGAGATGCACGTACTTCCCCTTTATTCTTAGTCATTTGGTTTGTAACTTCTTATTTGTTATCTGTCTTCCCTGCCATACTGTAAGCTCTATAAGGATAGAGCTGGTTGGGGTGGCTGAGCATTACACATTTTTTTTTGTTGAGTAAATCAGGTCCTTGAAGATTTCTCCCTGGGCTTCAGGCTGTCCTTAGCTGATCTCAAGATGCAGAGGTCCGTGAGCATTTTCTATAAAGGGTTAAAAAGTGTATTTTTAAGCACTGGGAGCTGGGTGGGGGAATGTGGGTATAGTCTCTGTCACAGCCAATCAACTCTTCCATTGTAGCCAAAGACAAAATGAAAACAAATGAGCACAAATGAGTTCCAATAAAACTTTATTTACAAAAACAAGTTGTGGGCTAAATGCTCCTCATATAGTTGTATCCCTCAGCGTGGAGGTATTCCAGCTCCTAGCAAAGACCAGGCGGTCTCACATTCATGCACAGATAAACCAGGTGAAACTGGAGAACGAGACAGACCTTGCAACCCAGCATCTCAGCGCTGGGAAATAAAACCTCAAAACACCGATTGAAAACACCTGTGGGGGTTGAGGTGCCTAGAGAAACTCCCAGCCTCACAGGAGAGTTCACTGGAGAGACCCACAGGGTCCTAGAATGTACACAAACCAACCACATGGAAATCAGTATCAGAAGGGCCCGATTTGCTTGTGGGAAGTGGCAGAGGGGACCAAAATATGGCAGAGAGCAAAGCAAGGGCCATTGTTTCCTCTCAGACCCCTCCCCCACATACAGCATCACAACCCAGCAACTGCATTGCCCCGCCCTGGTGAACACCTAAGGCTCTGCCCCTCATACATAACAGGCACAACAAGACAAAAAAATGGCCCAAATGAAAGAACAGATCAAAGGTCTAGAAAAAAAATACAACTAAGTAACGAAGAGACAGCTAACCTATCAGATTCACAGATCAAAACACTGCTAATCAGGATGTTCACAGAATTGGTTGAATTTGGTCACAAATTAGATGAAAAAATAAAGGCTACACTAAATAAAATAAAGGAAAATATACAGGGAACCAATAGTGATAAGAAGAAAACTGAAACTCAAATCAATAGAGTAGACCAGAAGGAAGAAAGAAACATCCAATCAGAAAATAGTGAAGAAACAATAATTCGAAAAAATGAGGAGAGGCTTACGAACCTCCAGACATCTTTAAACGTTCCAACATCCAAATTATAGGGGTACCAGAAGGAGAAGAGGAAGAGCAATGAGTGGAAAGCTACTTTGAACAAATAATAAAGGAGAACTTCCCCAATCTGGCAAAGGAAATAGACTTCCAGGAAATCCAGGAAGCTCAGAGAGTCCCAAAGAAGGTGGATCCAAGGAGGAACACACTAAGGCACATCATAATTATATTAGCCAAGATTAAAATGAAGGAGAGAATCCTAAAAGCAGCAAGAGATAAGGAGATAAGAGATAAGGAGACAGTCACCTACAAGAGTTCCCATCAGACTGTTAGCTGATTTCTCAAAAGAGACCTTATAGGCGAGAAGGGGCTGGAAAGAAGTATTCCAAGTCATGAAATGCAAGGACCTACATCCAAGATTGTTCTACCCAGCAAAGCTTTTATTTAGAGTGGAAGGTCAAATAAAGCACTTCTCAGATAAGGTCAAGTTCAAGGAGTTCATCATCACCATGCCCTCATCATATGAAATGTTAAAGGGACTTATCTAAGAAAAAGAAGATAAAAAGCATGTACAGTAAAATGACAGCAAGCTCACAATTATTAACAATGACACCTAAAACAAAAACAAAAACAAACTAAGTAAACAACTAGAAAAGGAACAGACCACAGAAATGGAGATCATATGGAGGGTTAACAACAGGGCAATCAGAGGAGGAGAGATGGGGAAAAGGTACAGAGAATAAGTAGCATAGATGGTAGGTAGAAAATAGAGAGGGGGAGGGTAAGAATAGTATGGGGAATGTAGAAGCTAAAGAACTTATAAGTATGACACATGGACATGAAATAAAGGGGGGAATGTGGGTGGGAGGGGAGTGAAGGGGGAAAATGGGACAACTGTAATAGCATAATCAATAAAATATATTTTTAAATAAAAATAATTCTTGGGGGGTTCCATGATTAAGTAGCCAAAGGCTGCCAGCTAGTGCTTAGAAATCTTGATATCCTACTTTTAACTCTTAGGTTCTCAAGTTTATTAAAAGATAAGTCTTTCTGAAAAAACTGCAAATTTGTTTTCAGAAAATTTTTGGAGATTGAAATAATTTACTACATCAAAATTCAGCGTGAAAAAAAATAGCATGGTACATTAATTTTAATTCTGAGTTTTTTGTGTTGGTTAAAGTAAAGTTTTGTTATTATAAATTGTTAAGAATCTTAATTAAAGCTTCTTGCAATGTATGATACTCATGTACCTTTCACATGCTTCAGGAAACTCAAGAACAAATTGTTAGCTTAGGTGCTG